TGATGTGCAGCATAATGATATTTAACAATGTTGTGCTGTGAGATGCAATGAAATAGCTAGGTATTAGGGAGAGGAAGGATGGAGAAGGGAAGGAAGAAAGAAGGTGGATATGAAATCAATATGGCCAAAATAGTAACAACTGTTGAATGTGGGTATAATCTATATGAGATTTCATACTGTTCTCATAACTTACCTGTAAGTTCTATTTTTCACAATATAAAGTACAATAAAATAGAATATATAACAGCTAGATTATAGGAGTTATTTTGTGGAATTAAAAACAACTAAGAATGGTTTTCAAATCTTTTGTTTGTTTGGCTTTTGTTTTGTTTTGTTGTTTTGTTCTTGGGGTTGAACATGGGGGGTGCTTAACCACCAAGCCACATCCCCAGTCCTTTTTTAACATTTTATTTACTGACAGGATCTTGATGAGCTACTTAGGGCCTCACTACTTTACTGAGTCTGGCTTTGAACTCTCAATCCTCCTGACTCAGACTCCAGAGCCATGGGGTTACAGGCATAGGCCACCACCCTGGCAAATCTCTTGCTGTCTTATAAAATAAAATCTTATTTAAAAAGACAAATGAAAGATAAACCACACTACAGAGTTAGTTTCTATATTTTTCATAGTGTGCTAAGAGGTGCACCAGCTGTTTAAGTAATCTGAAGTCTACACCATACATAGAATTGAAAGTCCATCTAAAATGTCATTTTCTGAAGCAGGAGATGAGTAGATTTGTAGGTCAATGACTGATATAATTGTTTTATTCATCCCTTAGATGGATAATCTTAATTGGTTTTGTTTTAAAAAGTTATATTTTGGTCTGATAGACCTATATGAACTATTATATGAGTGAATCCCTCTATAACAAAATACCAAAAATAAGGCAATATTATTTTTGACTACAAGAAAAACCTCTGTCTTAAAGGGAGAATCAAGAAGTCAAATGGAAAGAAATTAATGGACATTACTGTTGCTAAGGAAATCACATATGGTTAACTTGAAAATACTCTATATTTTTGAAGAAATAAGTTTTGTTTAGAGATAATACTTGGGTACTTTTGATTTCCCTAACCCCAGTAGTCTTTAAACAACTGTGAAAATATCTCCATCAAAATCATTTCCACATACATGACTTTATTTCAGCATCCTGGATCATGCAGCTTTTATCAAACTTATTTTAAAACAATATTAAACAAAGGAAATGATGGCAATCATTCACTGATCTCCTGCCTGGAATCTCTATCTTGTCCTTTGAATTGTTTGTTCTTCTGGGATTGCACTGGGCAATTTGACACTGTAGAAAAATGAGTATTAAGTCAGAAAATTCATTCACCTTTTCTTACAAAAATATAGATAATAATAAAATAACTATGTTGAAATTGAAGTACAGATCTGTCTCTACCTGCCAAGTGCTCTCTGGTAATACATAATATATGAGCTTCAGTTTACTCAAAAAGAGATAACTTCCCTATGTAAACATGCTTTACTACACATGTTAGAAGGACACTGATTTGGTACTGTACACGATATATTAAAAGGCATTTAGCCTGGGCGTAGTGGTTCACACCTTTAATCCCAGCGGCTCTGGAGGTTGAGGCAGTAGGATCATGAGTTCAAAGCCAACCTCAGCAAAAGCAAGGTGCTAAGCAACACAGTGAGACCCTGTCTCTAAATAAAATACAAAATAGGGCTGGGGATGTGACTCAGTTGTTGAGTGAGCCCGAGTTCAATCCCCGATACCATAAAAAAAAGCATTTACACAGCTGATATAATGAGTAAGAAATCCTATACAATTTATGAATAAAATTAAACACAATTTCCTTGGATTTGATAATCTACAGTCCAGAATTTTTTTTTTTTAAAAAAAAAGAGTATGTGGGCTGGGGATGTGGTTCAAATGGTAATGCGCTCGCCTGTCATGCGTGCGGCCCAGGTTCGATCCTCAGCACCACATACAAAGATGTTGTGTCCGCCGAGAACTGAAAAATAAATATTAAAAATTCTCTCTCTCTCTCTTTAAAAAAGAGTATGTTTAGCACAAAATATAAGTATCAAAGGGAAAATATTACTAGTGAGGGACTACACAAAGCTGCAAACTATACTTTTCATTTTCCAAAGAAGATGCAGGAAATGTTTGAGGTCCTTTGCTAATATTGTCTTTTCTCCTGCTACTGATGATGTCATAAAGCATGACACACCCCTACACTTTACCCCCACTGTCATTTTCTTCCCCTTTCCTTCACCTTGAACATCCTGTTCCCTTTCATTTTCTGGTTCATGACCGGGTGTAATATCCTGAGTTTCAGTTGGTGCATCCTCTTGTTGAAAAGGATCATCACTGGACAGTTGGACCTTTATGTACAAATAAAAAATATTGTTAATACATGTAATGACTATACATACTGCATTGATATATCTAGTCATAATGAAGTCCAACGACATTTCTACATGATTCCATATATTTATTCTCAATACATTTCCACAGAGAGGAAATTCCCAGAAGAGTTACCCACAAGGACATTGAAAGCTATTTTCATCAATGCTGAGGTGGATATGTGTGCAATCTGTTGTTAGTAAGAAAAATAAAGAAATTGTCAGATATATTTACTTGAAATAGAACAGCATCCATCCAGGACATAGCAGAATGTAATCCTGGATGAACACTTCTTTCCTGAGAGCAATTTTCACTTTTACTTGCATAGGAAAACTTTATCAGCATAGATACATTTTCTTAGAAACAAATGTCCATTTACACCAAACACCAAATATGAAAGATTCAAATCCATTGGCTAAACAGTCTGGGGAAATTCTTGCTCATTTCTTCATCCAGATTTAGTTCTTGGTCTTCCTTGTCTTTTCCTATTTCACACAGAAAAAGAAAACTGTCACTTGAGATATGCATTTAAGATGGCAACATATTTGACCATTTCCATGGCCTATAGATAGTGTGTAATTTTCTTAACGTACAAAAATTTTTCAAAATAAGTCTCTAGTAACTATAACTCTGTGTGCTTCCTAGTGTTTGCAGATCCATTATTTCCCCCTTGCTGGAAGAGAAGTCATCTATAAGCACATGGCAAAAGGCAGGAGTTCTGAGGAGGTTTGGTTGGATGGGTTCCCCATCATGGAGACACTTTGAGAAAACTTCCTAGAGATTTGAAAATCAAATGTCTACTGCCTGCCTCACACTCCCATTGTTTATCCTCCTAGGCTCCATCAATAATGTCTTGTCGTATTGCACAGCCTCCCTCGTCCCCTCTGCACTCACCTTGATGAGCCAATTTTGGTACCCTCCATGGAAGCGAGGAGAGGTTATGACACAGATCAGTGGCGGTGATCCTAAGAAGGTCTTCTATCAATCTCAAGTCCACCATGCGGCCAGCGCATTGGTTTCATTAATGAGGTTCTTGGCATAAAAATTAACTAGCGAGATCGAAATAAAACACACAGACTCAGTTACCTTTTTCTATGACCAGGTCCGAGACGGCTCCCCTTTCTGGTTCCAACCTTGAACCACCCGTAGGGCAGCAAGGATTACTCAGGGCTAGCAGGAGAGAGA